AAAACCCAGTCTAGCATTCTCATCTCCAAAAAATTCTGAGTCCTTCTACAGGATGCCATGGACATTCTAGCATGGATGTTCAATCTTATTAACTATGGGCTGCTATTAAATCATTATGGCGTCAATTAACCAAACAGACTATTGGTGCCCCTCCCGGCTTGGATGGGCGCCCAGGGGAATGAACGTGGATAACTTAAACACTCCAAGGGTGTGTTCACCCTCTCCCAATGGGCACAGAACTTCGGGTTTTGACTCGTCCTTATTTATTTTTTTTAACTTCCTTCTAAGCACACCGCACTTTGTGGGACGAAAGCTGGGGCGTTAACCGAGCCTGCAGCTTCGGTAGACCAGCTCGGGTTCTGCAGATCTAACCTGGGCTAGACCTCCCAGGTTTGAGGCCTCCCCTCTTCTTTCCGAGAAGGTGGTTGCTCCCACACCGCCGGAAGTGCTTGTGGTCGGGTCCCGGGAGGCGGATGGTGGCGGGCCATGGAGTTGCGGAACGGTGACGGCAGTCCGAGCGGAGCACTGGCGCCCACCGAACCGGCTCCGGCCTTGGTGACCCTGGCGCAGCTCCTGCAGCTGGTTCAGAAGGGCCAGGAGCTCCCGGGTCTAGAGAAGCCTCACATCACTGTGATCCACGGCGAACCCACGGCGTCGCGGCTCCCCCGGAGGCCCAAGCCCTGGGAGGACTCGGGCTCGGCCGCATCATCCCGCATCACCGCCCTAGACGCGCGCATGCAATCCCTGACCATCGAGGATCCGGCCCTGGGCAGGCCAGCGGCCCAACTCGGCGGAGGTCCCGCGGGTTCCTGAGCTAGAGCGCGTCTGCAGCCATGATCCGGAGGGCGTGACCGGGTCCTGCATGAACCTGAGGGTCTGGACAGCTGCCTTTACTTATCTTTGTGCATCTGCTCTGACATGTCTCAACCAGACCCAATCCTCCCGGGAGACAAGTGTTGCCCAGGAATTTCAGGGTTGGACGCGAATTTCAACTTTATATCGTGTTGTAATTTGTCTGTGTAATTGAAACAAGTCTATTATTTTACCACCCGCGGTGTGTTTCATTTGCCTCAGTAACGGCCATGGCCTCCTGGGCCACCTTCTCCTGATGATACTGATAAAGGGAACAGGACAGCCAAAAGTCATTACTAATTTTGTAGTCATTTGGGTTTGATAGAACTCGGTTGTGGAAAGATGCAGCAAATGAAATCCATATTTGACCTATTTGATTTCCGAGACAGCTTTTCTCTGTGCAGCTCTGACCATCCCGGAACTCTCTAGACCAGGCTGGCCTCTTTTACACTCCCCATTTAATTGCAAGTAGAATGGCAACACAGGCTCTTAGAACCTGCTGCTCCCACCATGTAGGTCCTTGAACCAAGTTCTTGGCCAGGCAGCGGCTGCCTTACCTGCTGAGTCATCGCCAAGGCTGGAACAGGAGAGACACCTGGAGCTGTCAACTGCCTCGTGGGTGTTGAGAGACCACCCCAGCCCCCTCTTAAGACTACTGTCAGATGGTGGGGCTGGCTGAAAAGTCTTGCTATGCTCAGGCTCCCTGAAATCTTGTTTTTTGAGGCAGGGTCCCTCCACATAGCCCTGAACTTTAAGAGATCTGCCAGCTTCTGCCCCAAGGGCTGCGATTAAAGGTGTGTGCCACCACACTAGGCTTCCAAAGTCTTTCAAACAGGCCCAGTGGCTTCCTGCATCTCCCACTTTCTAAAGCTAAAACCCAAATGGCAGTAATGTTAGCAGCCATGAAGCCTATCCACGTAGCTTAGTGACTAAAATAGACCCGGCTGTTCCCAGCAATAGTCCCACAACTTATTTGGGTGTGTCAAATCATGCTAAGTTAGAGGGAATCAATTCTTTAAAAAAATTAGTGTTTTGCCTGCACGTATGTCTGTACACCAGAAGAGGGCACCGGACCTCATTATATAGAGAGGGCTGTGAGCTACATGTGAGGGCTGGGAATTGAACTCAGGACCTCTGGAAGAGCAGACAGTGCTCCTTAACCTGTGAGGCGTCTCTCTAGCCTCAATCTTTATTTTTTCCCCCTTTTCCTTTTGGTTTCTGAGACAGGGTCTCTATGTGGCTTTGGAGCCTGTCCTGGAACTGGCACTATTGACCAGGCTGGCCTCGAACTCAAGAGACCCACCTGTCTCTGCCTCCCAAGTGCTGGGATCAAAGGCTTGCACCACCACGGCCTGGCCCCAATCTTTTTTCCTTTGAGGCAGTCTCACTATGTAACCCTGGCTGGCCTGAAATTTGGTAGCCTTGAACTCAAAGATCCATCCACTTAGCAAGCACAATCATTCACTAACTTTGGAGTTTGAGAAGCACCTGTTAAAGAAAGCACTTGGTGCTTTTGCAGAGGACCCTTCACTTTCCCTGGCTGCTTTGGGCTGTACTCACGACAATCAATCCTAAGTCTTTTACTGGCCAGAAAGAGGCCGTGCTCCCCTACCTTAGCTCACAGGGTTCCACACTGCATACTGTCCCCTCATTCAGGACAATGCCCATGAGTGTTCCTCCAAGCCTGCCTGTGACAGTTTTGTTAATTTCCCAATGCTCTCCAACATCAAGGTAACATTGACCTCTGGCAGATTCTGGAGCCCACTGACCTTATAACGGGCATGTTCTGAGACACTTATTTTCCCCTTGAGACAGGGTCTCATTATGCAGTTTTGGCTGTCCTAGAACTTGCCTGGTACACCAGGCTGGCCTTGAACTCAGAGATCTGCTTTCCTCCGGAGTGCTGGGATTAACAGCTTTGACTGTTACATTTTTAACTCAGTTTCATAGTGAGCCAAGGTTACAGGAAAAATCAGGGACTAACAATGGTTAAGAAAATGTGGACCCCTGGTGTGGGTTTTAAGGAAAGCTGATAGGAAGATTTCCAAGTCCCTCCTGAAACCCAGGGTGGAATGTAGTGGGTATTTCCCTGTAAGGAGTAAGATTTTTCCTCCTGCCACTGATCTGGTCCTGCCGCCACACCTGCCCCAATTAACACACAAACTCTGTATTTGATATAATGCTGTTGGCCGGTTAGTTGTTTCTGATCGGCTAGCTCTGTCTTAATTATTAACCCATTCCTATTAATCTATGTATTTCCGTGTGGTCTCATTTTACCGAGAGTGCCGCCTATCTTGCTTTCCTATTGATCAACAGTGCTTTATTCATCAACCAGTATGAGAAACATATTTACAGAATGACATTTCCCAGGTAACTTTTTTCCCCCTTGTTTCAAAGCAGTTTCTCTGTGGTCCTGGGTGTCCCAAAATTCTGTAGAGCAGGGTGGTCTTGAACTCAGGAGCTCCAATGCCTCTGCCTTCCAAACACTGGGATTAAAAGGATGCACCCAGTTTATCGTTAACTTTTATTATGTTTTTTGTGTAACAGCCCTGGTTGACCTCAGACTCACTGAGATCTGCCATCCTTTGCCTTCCGCTTGCTGGGATTAAAGGTGTGTGTCACTGCCATGGAGCATGTATGGTGATGAGTGTTACGTCTCTTCCTAGTGCAGACAACCCTGCCTGAAACTGCAGGTCAGGGCAAAAATACCACCACACTGACTCAGGGTCAGGCAAGCCTGACCAAAGCTGACACTGAAGTTGCAACACGGCCCTCAGCACAAAACTAAGCACTGCTTTGGTCACTTTCCTAACTGTATTTCATGTCCCAGGCTGGGGGAGCACACACCTGTAACCCCAGCACTTAAGGAGGGGTCCTACAGAGTTAAAGCCAGACAGTGAGATCCTGTCCAAACAAACAAACAGCCGCCTGTAATGACAAAATAAAAGTAAATTCCAGGACTCTTCCTCCAGGTTCAAGTATGTTCCTGGTCTGGTCCATTGCTTCAGAGTCCTGGAAGGGGTCGGAGGGAGTTTGGTTTATTTGCCCACCCAACATTAAAGCAGGGCAACTCTTTCCTCCATAGCCTACCCTGGGGCAGCCACTGTGGAGAACATTGTCCTTTTCCATGGACCTGGGCTGTGCTGGGGTTTTGCAATGCTCACACCACGATGTCTGTCTCCTGGCCTTTCCTTCCAGGTGCTGAAGGCAGAAAAAAAAATCATCTTCTCTGAAGATACTTGATAATTTTAAATAACACAAAGCACTCCTCCAATGCACCGTGCTTTTGGAAATCCTAAAGAAGGAAAACACAACTGCATGAATACAAATTACCTCAGGGTAAGAGACAGATAACTGGTCTTCAAATTCTAATATTTTCTATTTGAGACAGGGTTTCTCTGTGTAGCTTTTGGAGCCTGTCCTGGAACTCACTCTGTAGACCAGGCTGGGATTAAGGTGTGTACCACCACCACCTGGCTTCAAATTCTTTCTGAATTAGTTTTGATTAGTTTCCACTGCAAGCTAAATGTCCATGGCAACACAAGTTTTCTAGCTTTACCCTAACAGTCACAGCCTCATTTCCTAATCAAGCACTGACCCTGCTTCCCTGCTTTTTTGTTTGTTTATTTTTTTAAAGACAGTGTTTCTCTGTGAAACAGTCCTGGCTGTCCTAGAACTCACTCTGTAGACCAGGCTGGCCTGGAACTCACAGAGCTCCATCTGCCTCTGCCTCACAAATGCTGGGATTAAAGGTGTGCACCACCATTACCTGGCTCGTTCCCATCTTAGCACAACTCTCAAGTTCTGGCACACACGGGAGGAATTTTTCTTATAGCCATGCTAGGGACTAAGAACTTGCATCCACAGCTAATTCTGAACCACTAACTATACCTGCAGCTCACAGGGGGCTTTCAGTTGACAAGCATGGCCCACCAAAGTCAGACTAGGGGCTGAGAAGCGGGCTCAGCAAGAAAGGCTTTTTGCCACCAAGACAAAGGACTCAACTTTGGTGAAAACCAACCTCCACCCCAAGCTGTGCCTGACCTCCACATGAGCACTTGGGGCATGTGCTGGGGCACACCCGCACACCCACAGAGAGAGCAACCTATACAGCACAGCCTCACCTGGCCCCCATCTAGTTCAGCTGGCGGATGAGCTGGTTGATGCGTTCACCCCGGTAGCCAGGAGAGCCAATCTCCTTGAGGAAACCCACTCTATTCTTGGTAGCATGACGGGCCACAGAGAGGTGGAAAGGGCATAAGAATGAAGAGATATTCTGGAAATGCTTCCCCGGGAAGGCAATTTCATGGATGAGGTCTTCCAGGCAAATGACACCAAATCTCCCTGAGAAACAAAAGGTATAGATTGCTCTGTTCACCACCCAGCCAGTATACAGCAAGCACTCACACAACGAAGCTGGGACCCCAAGGCCCAAGAATATACTCTGGACCCCAAACCACAGCTATCAACACCCCACTTTCTGCCCCAAGTGACCCCCAGGCGCAGCACTCACCCAGGTGCTCCTCAATCACTGTGTTGTCTGTCAGAGGGACAGTCTTATTGTTAATCTTTGCTTGGCCTCGTTTCAAGATGAGCTCCCGGACAGACTTCAGATTCGGAAATCTGTGTAAGGCATAATACAGCGTTACCCTGGCCACTCAGTTCTGAAGCCGGCCCAAGAGTTAAATCCCCACCCTCCACCCCAACACTGGATTTTCAGGAGACACAACTAATGGGGAGGCTAAAAAATGGGGGTGAATGCCAGGCACAGTGGCCCACGACTGCAATTCTAGTACCTGAGAGGCTGAGGCTGGAGGACCTTAGACTTTGGGTTGCCCAGCAACACTAAAACTAAAAATACGCAAACTAAAAGCAAATCCACCTACCAGCCAACTGAAAATCCCACAGTGGGCCCGAGTTATTATTAAAAATCTAGATTTTTTTTTTTTGAAACCAGGTTTTATTCTTGTAGCCCACACTGGCCTTCAACTTGCAGTAATCCTCCTGCCTTAGCCTTTGGTGCAAAGGGATTCCAGGCCTCAGGCACCATGCTCAGTTCTAATTGGTTGTGTTACTAAGGCTGACCTCCCTGCCTTAGCCTTCCAGGTGCTGGAATTTTAGGAATGAGCCACCTCCAGCAGAGATCACTGCTGTCATCCAAGCTCTGCCATTATTTTGGCTTCAAGTGTTACTCTGTCATTCATCTTACAAAGTCTCAATCTCCAACTGAGTAAGACCTGAAATGATCCTGTTGGGACGGCTACCCCCATCAATGCTCCCTCCTCACATCCTAAGGCTCTTTATTTGAGGGATTTGCTCCCAATACAACAACATGAGCCTGGGAAAACTGTGCTCACCCCCAGGTCACATAAGGCTCCACTGTGCGCAGCATCTTCATAGTTTCAGGGGTGACAAGCACAAAGACACCACTGAACAATTTCTTCAGACGAAGTTTTGCTATGGTCTTCTGCACCAATAAACTCACTCCTTGTGTCCTGGAAGGAAAAAAACAAAACAAAACAAAAACAGCGGTCAACATCTGACTCCAGGCTTTGCTAGCCTGTCTGGCAAGCAATTGAGAGATGGATGACTGTCACTGGATACACAGAATTCACTGTGGTGGAAGGCAGCTTACAAACAGACCATTTCCCCACTATGTGGAGCCATCCCTGGATGATGGATTGTCGGGGTGGGAGGGCAAGGCTAGGATTATGTATGTCTACCCAAGGAAGCTGAATTGCTTCCATGTGTGGGCAGTAAAAGCAAGGGACATGCTTTCCTTCTAGCGACTGCCCAGAGGGCAGAACGGAGGCCGACATCAGAAGCAGGGAGTCCAACCCAGGAAAACGTTACGGGCAGTGGCAGGGAGATTAACGAGGGCAGAGCTCACAAATATTTAAACCTCAGATATTTTATATTAAGAGGCACACACACAGCTGTTTTTGATGGACACTATCTCCTGAACAACACTGAACTCTGCCCTGTCTTTTGTTTCTCTGTGCTTCAGTGCTGAGATTAAAGGCATGTGCCACCACACCTGGCCTATTTTGCCTACTTTGTTCATGTCTTGTGTCAAGTTGCTGTTCCTGTTTTAGAAAGTGTATCATTAAACAACCCCAACCTTAACCCTGGGTGTCTGCAACATAGACTGGCCTTATTTCACCTGTGGGGATCCCTAGTACACTTTGCAGTAATAGGTTAGACTTTATTTCCTATCTCCACACATAGCTAAAGCTGAACCAACAGTTGACCCATCTTAAGGACTCTACCTTTCCATGAGTATAACGAAGGCCAAGGAGTGTTTATCAGGCACTTCCAATGCACGAGGCTTCATTTGTAGTCGACGGACACGCACATCATCACGACACTGCCGCCAGGAATCATGTACGAATGATTCCAGTCGCTTAAACCTGACTTCTTTTGATTTCCTCTAAGACAGAAGACAGACATCACCACCTCTTCCACAATTAACCCAGGAGCCAAGAAGAAACACTTCCACCTTGCCTTCAATCCCAGCGCTGGGAGTCTAGAAGAGCCAGGCAGACCTCTGTGAGTCGGAGGTCAGCCTGGTCTACAAATCCAGTTCCATGACAGAGAAACCTTGCCCCACCCTCCAAAAGAAAACAAACACTTCTACCATTGCACAAGGAAACACAAGTAAAAGAAGTGCTAGGAAGGTTTAGACATCATGAAGACAAGCTTGTGGTTAATTAGTTTATATGTTGGTAACAACTAGTACAAGTGGTTCACGAGACCCAACACCTTATTAGGCATCATTAAACACAAGAGGTTTTTCTCGCCCACACGCATACATCATTCTAGATAAAATAGACATTAAAAATTGGTGGATGCTTTTGGTTTGAGACAGGTTCTCACTACACAGCCCAAGTGGACCTTAAAACTCTTCATCCTCTTGCCTCTGCCTCCAGAATGCGGAAATCACACTAGTGTGCTAGAGTTGGCAACTTAATCCCAGCACTCGGGAGGCTGAAGCAGACTGATCTGTTAGTTTGAGGCCAGCCCGGTCACATGGATTTCCAAACCAGCAAGAGGCGAACATAAAGAGAGAAACAAACAAATAAACAACAACAACAACAAAGCAACAAAAATCTTTTCTGCCAAATTTGGTCTATCATCAGTTAATTTGAATTCACAGTCTTCACTTTTCCTTTAAACAAGGCTATTTCAGAGCATTTTGCTCAGAGAAAGATGTCAGGTAAATCTTTACTATACCGTTTAGGGGAACCATTGCTGGAGGGAGGGGATATGATTATAACAAATCTAGTCCGACATATGCTCAATAAAACTCATCCACTGCAGACTCCAATCAATATTCCACCCCCCCTCCTCCCCAGAATTACCTCCCTCTTTGCCAAAAGTGCCTGCTTTGCTTGTGTGGCTTTGAGAGCTTGATACGCCTTCCTCTTTTTCAGGAGATTTTCTGGAACCAAAGGGATCTTTTTTCTTTCCCTGATAAAGGAAAATTGACATCAAGGAAAATTACGAAACGAACATTCCACGGTTTCCAAACCAATTCAGGATCCTGGTTTTCCGGGCACATGCCAGTCGTTTTGAGATTTTCCCGGAAACCATAGCTTTCTGATTGCTCTTCACTATAGACCTGAAACGCTCCTTAAACACATGGAAGAACCTTTGATCCCTGGGTTCGAGTGGGTCCGTAGAGCTTTAACAACTGTAGCCTACCACAGACACTAACGGTGAGGGACTTCTAGTACAACCCGGAAGGGTTTGAACTGTTATAGATCCACCAAGAAGGATAATTAAAGTCGAGCCAGGGTCGGGAAGGGGCCAGGGGATACTGGGGGAGAGCATATGATCAAAGCACACTACATGTATGTATGAAACTGTGAAAATCAGTTATCACGGCCGAGCTGAGCGAACCCAACTCGGGCACTCACTCCCCTGCCTGCCCGCCCCTCCATCCGAACCTCGGTCGCGGCTCCGCTAACGCAGCCCTCCAGCATCTCAGTCCCCACCCTGATTGAATAACAAGAGCCTTTTCTCCTCTCCCACAACGCGCGAGTATCCTGCTGTATCGCCAAAGTACAAGCAGGAAGGATGGCATCGGATATTCAAAGCCCCACTCGACAGTCCCAACGACCCAGAAACTTACCCTTCTTCCGCCATCTTTCCGGGCTGCAGTTTCTGCTCATGCGCAGTCTGACCTGACGGGGAGGAGAGGCCCGCTCTATGACTCCCTGATCATAGAGACGCCGCTCTTGCTCACGCTGGAGGACCAAGGTAGCCCGCGATGCCTGAGCGAATGGGAACTTCCGAGAAATGGTCTTGCTAGCCCTGAACCCAGGCAAAAATTCCAGTGTCCTCCTCATCCCTTCCGAGCTTTCTAGAGTCTATGACACTCATCGAGACCCAGCAGTAGTCTGCAAGCCGCCCGCTTCCCACAATGCCCTGCACTTCCGGCACAGACTCGGCGGAGCGCGAGCCGTGCTGTCTGTTTCCACTGAGACTGGAGGGACCGCGTGGTGCTCGCATTCGGGAGGCGGTTATTCATTCGACTGGAGGATTTGTGGGAATAAACAGGTGTCTCCGACTCTGAGCCTTTGAGCTTCCCACCTTTCCATGCCCTGAGTGTATGCATTTCCCAGCAGCCACCTCGGCTCGCTCGCCCATGCCCTGAGTGTATGCATTTCCCAGGAGCCACCTCGGCTCGCTCGCCCCTGCCCTGAGTGTAGGACTTCTCATTAGCCGCTAGAGGGCTCTGTGAGATTTATAATGTTAGCACAATGAAAGTGAAACAGTAACACTGATGTTACTGCCCGAAACTAGAAGTGCTGCATTTTCATCTCAGCCTTTCCTTGTACAAGTCTTGCAGAATGAACTCACATGGCTGCATGTCTAGCACAGTGCATTCATTTATCCATAGTCTGGAACAGTGCCATTGTCTGTATTTGATAGCACCTGGAGGCCTCATCACAGACTTTAACTTACACCCTTGGCTTATTGTTCCCTTAACAAGGGTGAGTGCTCTTTAAGGACAGGAAACAAAGTTTCTTATTTCCTTCGCATCTCTTCTACACCACCTCACTACAGTGAGGATCTGCAAGGATTTACTAAGTCCCTGCGGACTGGGAACCATATTGATTTTGGCACATACCAAAGGACTAGCCCATCAGAAAGCTAATGCCATCGCCGGGGGCTCATTAACAGATGAGTATCACAGGGGGTGAGGCCTGCAGAGACGGTTCAGCTGTTAGAGGACCCCGGTTTAGTTTCCAGTACCCACATGGTGGCTCCCAACCACCTGTAACTCCATTTCCAAGGGATCCGATGACCACTTCTGGCTCAGGCATCCGGCACACAGACATACATGCAGGCAAAACATGCATACACGTGAAATAAACAAAAAAGGAAGCTGAGTGTGTTGGCACTCATCTTCAGCCCCAGCACTCAGGAGGCTGAGGCAGATGGATCTCTGAGTTCAAGGCCAGCCTGGTCTACGTAGTAAGACCCTGCCTCAAAGATAAATGCGAAAGTCAAAAGGGGCGACGACATGGTATTGTCACAGATGGTGGTCCCAGACTCAGTACTTTAACCACGTGTCTTTGTAAAGAAAAGACTAAGCAAGCTGCAAGGCAGTCAATATCACCATTTTGTAACTTTCTTTGGATAAAAGTTAGATCCTATCATATTGATAATATCAAGGGAAGAGGAATTCAATGGCATTCACAACTCCCTACTAGTTGAATGGGACTTCTAAGTCCAGGTTCGGAAGGCCTTCTTAAAGCAAAGCCACCCCTCTACCACTCTGATCCAGAAGTTTCCTTCCAGCTTCCCTGCTCCTGACCACACTGAACACGGACCACGTGTGCTACCATTGAAGACCACACGTTAGAATGTGGCATGGTTACTTAACAGTCTTGGGAGTTTTACTCTTTTTAGCCATCCCAAAGGTTCTGCTCTTGATTATTTCAGCTGGCCTTTATTAGAGAACACTTAAATTATGGGAGCTTGTGCAACTGTATGGAGCCGTGTGCCTGAAATCTGTGCAGTCTACCAGTGGCCATCCCCATCTCCTAACACCATTCCACTCCTGTGAACTGGTGGCTCCTGATCAGAGTTACATGTGCAGTCCCCTCTCTACACCCATCATCTCCCTTAGAGTGTGACCCTCCTTGTGGCCGGCAACCTTGACTGTAGGCTGCAATGATATTTCTTTCTCCCTGGCCCCTTGCTCATCCATGGGAATGGTGTATCCCCTACCCTTTGATTCTCTTTTGGAATGCCTTTTAGAAAATCTCCAGCCTCTATACCTGGCACTCAACATGAAAGGGCCCTAAACTTGTTCGCCTTTGCAATCACATTTGGCCTCAATACCCCTTAGATACTAATCCAAAAGGCCACCTAACAGCACCTTAGGTTCCGGTATTATTTGGTACTTTTACAAGTACTGTGAGCTACTGGGGAAATTTAAAGAAATTCCCCATCTGCTATGTTCATACTTTGCCTTTTCTTCACTCCAAGCCATTTGTTTTTGTCTGGTCTCCCTCCCTCCTGGGCAAATGTCCTGTCTTTTTAAGTTAGAGTCCATGAATCTGCAAGTTTGTTGCAGAGCTGGAGTGGGGAGCAGGACCTACCTGCAGGGAGAAAGCAATGGAGTAGGCAGGCTGTGACAAGGTGCAGCCAGCACGGTCCTCACTGGCTGGTGCATGTCTCAGCCTCCCTACAGTGCCTTCAGTCTGCAGCCAGGGCGCAAAACTTTCCTCTCCCTAACCTTCTCTGTTCTTACTTTACTGGATTCAGTTTTATGAAGACTCACGTGTCTTTTAGGTATTGCCAGTCCACTGTCTTATGCTATTCCACCTGAATTAAAAGCTGGCTCTGGAGTTGGGGTATGGCTCCTCCTCATCTAGATCCAAGCATGCTTGTTTAAAGGGTTTTCCTCCCCAAAACCTCTATACCAGATGAGGTGACCTGACTATGTGACAGAAAAAGTCGAGAAAAACAAAATAAAGGGACAGATAATTCCCAACAGGGACCATCTTACTCATCTTACACTTTCTTTTTTTTAACTTTTGGTTTTTCCAGACACAGCTTCTCTGTGTTACAGCTGTAGCTGTCCTGGAACTTAAATTGTAGCCCAGGCTGGCCTTGAATTCAGAGATCTGCCTGCCTCTGTCACCCGAGTGCTGGATTACCGGCTCTAACCAGACTTTTAATCAGTTGTTATTACAGGATTACTGAACTTCAGCTATGGAGCTAGAGGCCCGCAACTCCAGACTATACTTTAATAATGATCAAACTTGCCCCATTCAGCAGAAAGTAGTCTAATGATGACATCATCCTCGCTTTTCAACCCCGGGCTGTTCATCAATAATAAACAACAACAAAATAGGAGAATGTAAGACCGGGACCTGTCCCGTAGGAGCTCCAACTGTCATGATGTTCCCACAGAACACTCTAATGGCCAAAATAGCCAGCCCCAGCCCCTTCAGATACAGGGGAACAAGCTCTGCCCTGCAGAGTAAAAAGCCCAAGCTCAGGACTTGAAAACCCACCAAATCTTATTCTGGAAATATTCATCCTGGAAAACCCTATCCCCCAGAAGCCCTATATAAAGCCTGCTTCCTGCCCAGTTGTTCTCTCCTGATTAGAGGCCACCACCCTCTTGTGTCTCTCCCAATAAATCTCTGTGGTTTGTTGTGCAGTGTGACTTTGTGGTGTTCCCCAGATTCCAACTTCAAGGATACCTTTCCCCTCAGAGCTGTAACACTTAACATCAGGGAAACTTTCCCCCCAGAGCTGTAACACTTAACATCAGGGAAACTTTCCCCCCAGAGCTGTGGGAAACCTTTCTCCCCAGAGCTGTAACACTACAGCAGGGAAACCTTTCCCCCCAGAGCTGTAACACTTAACATCAGGGAAACTTCCCCCTCAGAGCTGTGGGAAACCTTTCTCCCCAGAGCTGTAACACTACAGCAGGGAAACCTTTCCCCTCAGAGCTGTAATGTACAGTGTCTGCTAAAATGTACTGCTCAAGAAGTGTTTGCTGGTTAACTCTCTCTTCAGCTGGGCACCAGAGAAGTCCTACTTCTGTCTTGAAGGGAACACAGCTGAGGCACAGCCATACCCTGGAGTCTAGGGCCTACTCCCTACAGGACAGCACAGCTTGTGTCCAGCCGCAAAGGAAGTTTCCATCTTTCCTATTAATGTTTCTTTCACCCAGTAGCCCACACTGGTTGCTCTCTCTGCATCAGGAAGTGCCAGGATGTCACTTTCTGGCACATGACCCTCCCACCATTGACTGAAGCTGTCACTATCTTAACAGAAACCCTGACTTGCCTCTGGGCATGCCCCAAGGGAATACAGAGACCTTGACCCTAAATGAGCAATCAGAAGACCCTTCCTTTTAAAATGATTTAATTATTGTTTATTTTATTTATCTATGTGTATGGGTGTTTTGTATGTCTGTGCACCACTGTATGCCTAGTGCCTTCAGAGACCCTGGGACTGGAGCTACTGATGAATGTGAGCAATATAAGTGCTGGGATTTGAACCTGGGTCCTGTGGAAGAGCAGCTAGTTCTCTTAACCACTGAACTCTCTCTCAGACTCCATATTATTTTCTTTCTTAAAAAAGGTGTTTATTATGTATATATACAATGTTCTCCCTGAAGTGTGCCGGCACTCCAGGAGAGGGGACCAGATCTCATAATAGATGGTTGTGAGCCACCATGAGTGCAGGGATCAAAGGAGTGTGCCACCAACTCCCGGCTCCTTTTTTACGTTTGTTTGTTTGTTTGTTTGTTGAGGCAGGGTTTCTCTGTATATAGCTCTTTAAGATCAGGTTGATATTGAACTCACAGAGCTCCTCCTGCCTCTGCCTCCCGAGTGCTGGGATCAAGGGCATGCACCACCGCTGCCTGGGTTATTTTCTAAATTTTTTTTGCCACGTAGATCTGGCTGGTCTCGAACTCACAGAGATCCACCTGTTTCTGCCTCCCTGGTGCTGGGGTTAAAGATCTGTGTCAACATGCTGTAGTGATTTATTTGTGTGTGTTTACATTTGTATCATACCTGTGGAGGCTAGATGGCATCAGATCCCCTACACATGGAGTCACAAATGGTTTCGAGCTACCCAACACAGGTGCTAGAGCTGTAGTCCTGTGCAAGGGCAGCCAGTGCCTTCAGCTGCTGAGCAATCTCTCCAGCCTCTAGCCTTCCTCTGTAATGCAAAGGGCCTGAACAGGGGCCATAATATGCTACTGGGTACACACGCACACTTGGCGTGCAGAGAAACATGACCTCAAGGTGACACTGAAGCCCACACCTAAGGACCTGCCCACCCCACCACACTGTACCCACTCCATGACATTGCAGCCTCTGCCAGGACAAGGAGAGAAGCATCCTAGCTGCAGACTAACCTGCTGATTTTTGTTTGGGGCACAGGAAGGTTATTAGCTGTACAGCTAAGGATGCCCTTCAACTCCTGATTCTCTTGCCTCCAGCTTCAATGTAGAGAGGGCTACAGGCAGGTATCCCCAGCCTAGGTTTTGTGTGGTGCAGATCAAACCCAGGACTTGGGTAAGTACTTTATTAACTGAGCTCTGTTCCCGAACACACAGTGCCCAACTTTTACTTCCAGACCCCCAAGGAGTGTGAGTGTAAATTCTAAGTCCCAGAGGGGAAAACGTCTGTGGGTCTAGTCACATCTGTGAAGGAAGGAACTCTTAGAAGGGCCTCTAGAGCGGACACTACACAGAGAGGACCCTAGAAAATGTTCTCATTACAAGCTGGTTAATTTAGGAACCAAAGAGAAATTTGTTCCTCTAAAGTGAGATAATCTATTAACCCTCAGCTTTCTACTAGCCTCGGCAAAAACAAAATGAATGAACATAAGCAAACGAAGCCAACTTCCTGCATAGGCTCACTGATGCCATCCTAAACGATGACCACTTTCCTCTCCTCAGAAAAGGGGCCCAATGACCTGTGGGGAGGGAGACCCAGCATCACTCACCAGCTTCATTCATCTGTCACCATCCTGTCCTCTCGCTGAAGGTGTTTGTTTGTTTGTTTGTTTGATCTTGTTAAATATATCTATACAGAGTTCCCACTGAATGAACACTTACCCTCTTCTGGGGATAGGAGCCATTCCTAGTTGCAAAATCAAGACAATCACAGTTACACATTTTCCCAAATCTTTGGCTGTATTGCAATGGTTGTTTCATTTTGTAATCTCCAACTGAACATTTCCTAACCATGGATTAACAATATAGGTACTGACTGGTTTAACAGTATTTATCCAACATAACAAAATAAACTGCAATTTGTTATACTTTTTTTTTTTTTTACAAAACATTTTATAAATATTTTTACAAAATGTATACAAAGCAATTTCAAGTGAGACATACTATACAAATGAAGGTATTTAAGCAAATAAAGCCCACACCACACTGACAGTGAGTGACCGTCCTCTGAGCCGGCCAGCCTGTGAGGCCTCCCTAATCTAACAGAGTCTACTAAATACTCCAGAGCTAAAGGGTTTCCTTTTCGTAATTGCCAGTTCCAAATTTGCTTCATCTTTAGGCAGTACTTAAGGACACAGAAAATCAATGCGTAATAACAAATCCATACTGTTCCACAACAACAAACAGATTAAAAACAAAGAAAAGAAGAAGTGATTTTTGTTACTGAGCACAAGGACTCAACTGACTAATGGACCTGAACCACCCAATGCTGGCCACCGAGGCAGGGTGTTCTCCTTCACCAGAGGGGGCTCACACACGAGTTCTGACCCATGTGGTGTAACCTAATCACAGGAGTAAAATACATTTTGTAATCTTCATTTGTCATTATCTAGAGTCTTTCCTCCGTTAAAAAGTAAACTTACATACAAGGACACAAAAATTTACAAGTTTCATTTTGGTACGTTAGGCTTTCCATTTGTGGGACCAGTGTTAGGGCTTAGAAGCCCTGTAATTTGACATATCGGAAAGCTGGGCTTGGGGGCAGAAGGGTTGGAGGGGAAGGACTTCGGTAACAAATATACACAAGACTTCTCTTGTTTCAAGGTTCCACTGATTTGCAATAATTAATGTAATTCATAGTACCCACGTGCAGGCATCCAGGGGCCGTCTTGCATTAGGGTTTGAGAAGACGTCAGAAGGATCAGGGCAGGCTGTTAGCCCAGGGTGGCCCAAACAGAGATTTCTAACTGGCAAACAACTTGTCTTTCTAACGTGTTATAATACAGGAAGGAAGCCAGCAACTTGGACATTGGCACAGAGAAGGGAAAAGGGTAACTATTTCGGTTGGCTGGGCTGGGAGCTGGGAGAAGGTCACTGCTCTCTTGCAGACTGGCTGTCTCACAGGGCTTCTTTATGTAATGGATGGGCAGTGGGGCATAGTCTGCTGTTGTTCGATTTCTTTAGTTTTTAAGACAGGGGTGTATCATGTAGCCCAAACTGGCTTTGAACTCATGACTCTCCTGCTCCAGCCACCTGACTGCTGGGATTACAGGTGTGTGCCAACATGCCTAGATTGTTGCTGTGTTATTTGACAAAGAAAAAAAAAAAAATCAAAAGCCTTCCTTTGCACTGCAGGCCAATCTGGAAAAGAAACAGTCAACATGATGACCACAGGGACAACTCCATTTTGGGGATCCAGTGAAGTGGAAATCAATGGATGCATTGATACAGCCAGGGGAGTGAACGGAGGGAGCAAGCCCTCACAGATCCCGCAGGGTCAGACAGGTGGGCGGTGCGGCAGGAGAACAGCGTGCAAACACAGCCGTGGCCTGGCTTTCCGGGCAATGGTTTATCTGACATGAAGAAGAAAAGAAGCAACAGGAACATCATGCCCTGGGACAGGCCCACAAGAAGGGAAAAATGGGGAGCATTCCCAGAAAAGAACACAAATAAAGAGGAAGGCTCAAACATGGGCCACCTATCCACGTGGGGGCGGTCCCCTCACTCTGGTGGTGGCATGCCGGCTGATGCCCTTGCTTTACGGCGTTGGGAATGACCAACACCGGTGCTGACTACTGTCCTTACAGACAGGAAGCACGGACAAGGCCAAAGTCCCCTTAAGTTTAAACTGAAAAAGTAGAAGAGTTTTCAAGTGACAGCACTCTTGATGCCTGGCTGTTTGCTGAGGACGAGGAGACAGGTTAAACAAACAGAACCAGCAACTATTAAAAAACACAAGGTATGCCGACTTCACCCAATTATAAAATGCAAAAGTTACAGGCGCCGTGAGCCTGGCGGCCCCCAGCCTCCCGGGCCCAAAGCTTCTGAACCGGTTCCCGCTGTTGCCTACTGAGCCCACAAAACTATAAACCGAATACCTGGGGCTAAGGATGGATGTGCTCGGAATTCAACACGGATGTGCTAAACACAGAACAAGGTTTAACCTCAGCAGCATCACGTAAACACTTGGATGTTCAAGAGGGAAGGCCTGCAAACGCCCTGCGTACATGCTACAGACACGTCTCAGGCCAGGGCTGTGGGGTTCCAGGCAGAGCAGCTGGCTACCCACTGCTCCGAGAGCGCTGAGCCTGGAGGAGTCATGTGGACTTCCCTTCATGGATACCCTTTTCCCCCAAACAAAAACAAAGCCACTAGTTTGGAGCTGCAGTGAGACATTCTTTAAAAAAGTAGCTTCTATCAGTCCTGTTTGATTTTTCTTTAATAAGTCCGCTCTTTTGAAATGACTTATGATTGTCAAAGTTTTACCCAGGGCCAAGTGTACTGCGGTCTCATCGAGGGTCAGTGCTAAACAAACAAACAAACCACGAAACAAATGAACGAACAACAATGGCCATAAGCACTTTCATACACTTGAAATGTGTAGGGCCTATCGGACTGCTTTCTAGGGAGAGATGGGTTTACTGAGGGGTCTCCCTGCAGCCACGATGATGTGTATTGCTCTTCAAAAGAACAGGGTCGAGATTAGAAAGAATAACCTGTGATGGAGGGCCAAGCAGGCTGGAGACAGGAGACGTTTCCATTTGCTTTGCTGGGAGAGAATGTAACTGGTCCGGGGAGGGGTCTGGGGGAGGAGGCTGCTACTAACACTCAAGGATACTATTTACAGCTGCTTCTAAAATGGAGTCCGTTTCTACAACGCCTTCACTGTGGTCCGGGATGAACTTTTCCAGGCAGTTTTCTTGTGAAGCCATTGGAGAAAAGCTGGGGAAGTCAAGGTCCATGGCGCCACTGGCCGCAGGGTCGCTCTGTGGCCGCCCCGCCTTCTTGAGTTCCAGAATGTTCTTAAAGGTTTTCTCTAGGCTCTTGGTGAGCTGGAGATCCGGCTGGGGCTCACCCGACCCTTTCATGATGTCTGTGTGTAAAACCTCATTCTTTGGGGAATTCCTCAGGGCTTTGTCCTGGAAGGAGTCGAGGCACGGCATCTCCAGGTGCGAGCTGGCCAGGATGCCCGGGAGCTTGCTCTCGGAGCCATGATCTGGCCTGGGCATAGTCTTGCGGTGGCCCTCGGGGCCTGGAGAGCACCCGCTGGCCTTGGCCGGGTCCCTCCGGCTGCCCTTGTCCTCAGGTGCACCCCGGTATTGGCCTAAGCCCCCTTTGTCATATTTCAGTGTCCTACCATGGCCTTCTGACTTTTTAGAAATGTTTCCCTCTGCAGAGACCACGATGTGGTTAGGCACTAGATGAAACTGGTCATGATTAGTTGCTTCTGCCATGCCTGGCTTGGCTCGGTCTCTGTTTTGGCCCCTGGGCGCCTGATGGAGCGAGCTGGTTTTGCTGCGATGCTGGTCATTCCTGTCCAGTGGTGCCTCTGGTGCAGCCTCCTCAAGTTTGAAGGAACAACAGAAATCGGCCTGAAAACCCTCTGGGAATAAGATCAGAAAGAGCTTTAATGGTCAGAGTGAGGACTAGTGTAGATAAACCCTCCCAACTGGGAGCATGGGCTGTCCCCCAGCCCGGGCTAGTCCGGCTCCTTCCCCTCTGCTCATCCCCCCCCCCCCCCCCCCCGGCCATACCACAGCACAACTTCCACGAGACATGTAGAGACAATTTAATGAAGACGCATCTTCTCAAAGCAATCCAAGGTTCTGGCTGGGCCAGCTTCCACATAGGAAGCTTAACCCAGGGTTTTGTGCAAGTAAAGGAGGCATTCTACGGAGACCCAGGCCACAGCAGATCTGTGATCAGTAGCCCTGGCATAACCCTGGCCCTGAGCCAGAGAAAGAAACACTTTATGCCTGAACCCAGAGCCAGGAAAAACACCCTGACTCCAAAAGCAGAGCCAAAAGAACACATTTTTGCCCCTAGAATTGGAGCCAGTTTAAAAAAAAAAAAAAATTGCCTTGGCCCTAAAATTGGAGCTTAAAAGCTAAAAGGGATCGGAGAAAAAAAAAAAAAAAAAAAAAAAAAAAAAACAGTTTGGCCCTCAAATCAGAGCATCTCTGCCATGACACTAAACTGACCAATCCATGAGTAGGAAAACTGACCAATTCCAGAGCAGGAAAAACCGACCAATCCCCGAGTAGTAAAGTAGTAGTCTCTAGCCTAGAGGCATGACTCCCATGGACCTTAAGGCTAGGGAAGCAGTAACCCCTAGCCTAGACATACCATGACCTTTTCCAGACTTTAGCTCTGAGGGGTCAGCCAATCCCAAGCCTGAAGGCGTGTAATTCCCCCAAGCCTTCCTAAAAAACCCCTCTGCTCATCACTGGGGTGTGTCCTGCTCTGCTCCTGCAGTCGCTCTGAATGGAGGAACCCGAGTTGGCTTGCAATAAGACTCATGGTGGTGGTACTTTGGGTGTAACATTACCAAGAGAGATACATGCTCCCTCCCCATTTTTCTTTCATTAACTGATGGTTTTGAAAATAAAAAGTTATCAACCTGCTCCCTTCCTTAGAGCAGTGGCAAGAGGATGGGGGGGGAGGGGGAGGGAGGTGGGGGGTGGTCACGCCTTGTCTCTGGGTAACAAGCTTACAGACAGGTGTGAGCATCATTCTATCGCCTCTCCTAGGTCATAAAACCAATGGTAAAATGGCACACAAAATGATAACTGCTTGGAAGGACATCAGGGCATGGAGGGGCCATGTCTGAGTGTAAAGGCTGAGCTTTGTCAGGTTCCAGGAGCCAGGGGATGACAAAAGAAACCTTTGTGAGGACTTGAGGTAGAGGTTACAGCCGCAGGGCTTAAGGAAGCAAACAGTGATTTCATCTACAAAACTCAATAGGATGTAGGGATCACAGCACACCTCCAAATGTGAGCTTCAGGGGACAGGCTAAAACGTAAAAAGGACTCCATTTGGCAGGCCACTGAGGAGGCCTTGCTCATGAGGGGTGTGACAACATGACAAAGTGGCATGGTTACCACAAATTTACCAAAGGCAGGGATTTCAGTTTCTCAGAGAGGGGACAGAAACAGACCCATGTGGCTGTTTTGGGGAAGGGTGTAAGGCTCCTGCTACATACACAGTATTTAGACCACCTATCAGTCCACACACTGTGTTTGTAAACCCCCTGAGCCAAGGCAGGCCTAAAGCACAGAATATTTAAGTATCAATAAAGAAGAGCCAGGCATGGTGGCTCCGCCTGTAATCCCAGCCCTTGGGAGATGAGGCAAGTGGATTACCATGAGTTCAAAGCCAGTCTGCGCTATATCATGAATTCTGGCATAGTCTAAGCTGCAGAGTAAAATTCTGCTGCAGAATAACAACAAAAACTAAAAGGAAAAATGCTGGGGGTGGGCGGAGGGCTGGCTCAGCTATTAGGAGCCCTGGCTGCTCTTACAGAGGACCTTGTTTGGTTCCCAGCACCCACATGGTGGCTCACCACCAGATGTAACTCCAGGTCCAAGGGATCTGACACCCTCTTCCGGGCTCTGTGAGCACCAGGTATGAATGTGGCACACACACACACACACACACACACACACACACACACACACTATACACATAAAAGTTTAAAAAAGAAAAATACAAGACGTCGGAGGAGGGAGAATGGAGTCAAAACAGTGCTACCACAAGGAGCTGAGTGCACTACATTATCCGGCTAGCATGGTCAAATGTTACTGCAAAGGGTGAAGTCAGATAAAGACTTGAGGGGCTGGAGAGATGGCTCAGTGGTTAGGAGCACTTGCTGTTCTGCCAGAGGACCCGAGTTCACAGCACCTGTGACTCAGATTGCCTGTGACCCAAGTTCTAGGGGATCCAAAACCCTCTTCTGGCCTCTGTGGGCACTCCTACACATGTGGCATACATACACACAGGCAAACATATATGTACTCACACGTAAAATAAATCTTAACTAGCTCAGCGACTTAAGGACCCTGCCACCAGTCTGATGACCTGAGACCGAGCCCCAGGACCCGTAAGTTGCAGTCTGACCTGCGCATGCATGTGGGTGCCCCCGGTTTTCAAAATTAGAAAATGCTAGAATAAAATTAAAAAGGAAGTCAGACTATAAAATCCTTTGTAGCATGTGACTTCTAAAGCCATTTTGACAGATGGATGAATACAGGTGAGACTCTGCGGTCTGTGGCCTCTACTGTCAGCTACTTTGGGGACTGAGGCAGAAGCTCACTGCCTCATGAACTTGAGATCAATTTGGGCAACAAAACAAGAGACAGCGCTAAGAGCTCAGGCTGTTGAGATGCTCAGAGGGTGGGGACATTCCCCTCACACACCCGACCACCCAAATTCACCCATGGAGCTCACAGCAAAAATCAGAGAATTCACTTTCACAAGCTACCCTCCCACCTCCACACATGATGGGCCATGCATGTGTCTAGCCACACATGCCACATACAGACATTCACAGTATTTTTTTTTTTTTTTAAGAAAGAAAAAACAGGAAACTTTGTTTTACTTTTTTTTGAGGCAGGGTTTCCCTGTGTAGCCCCTGGCTCTTCCACACCTCAACTTTGTAGACCAGCCTGGCCGTGAAGGCAGAGATCCCCCTGCCTCTGCCTCTGCCTCTGAGCACTGAGATCAAAGGTGTGCGCCACCTCTGCCCAGACTTTTTGGTCTATGTTAAAATGTCTGTGAGCTGAGTGTGGTGGTGTGTGCCTATGATCCCAGCACACAGAGGCAGAGGCAGGAGGATGGAGTTTTCTTCCTCCTTCTGGTCCCTTCTCTCCAGTACTTTTTTGTTTGAGACAAGGTTTTACTCATAGCCCAAGGTGGCTTGTGCCTGTCATCTTCCTACCTGCCTGAGCCTCCCATTGCTGGGAATTTGAGACCAGTCTGATCAAGAAAGTGAATTCCAGGCCGGCCAGGACTACATATTAGTGAGACTTCTGTCTTTAAAAAGAGGAATGGGCTGGAGAGAGAACTCAGCAGTTAAGACCATGTACTGGCCCAGAGGGCCAGAGTTCATTTTCCAGCCCCTGTGTTTGGCTTACAACTGCCTGCTCCAGGGGATCCAACACCTCGGGCCTCCGGGCACCTGAACTCAAAGCACATATACCCACACAGTCACACACATAACCACAACTGGAAATTAAGGGTCTGGAGCAATGGCTCAGCAAGTAGGAGTGTGTACTGCTTTTCCAGAGGGTCTGAACTCGGTTCCTAGCAACTATCTCAGGTGGACGCCAGCCCCAGAGCATCCAACGCCTTTTTCTGATCTCTGAGGGTATCTGTACTAACATACACATATGTACCCCATATACGTAATTAAAATCCTAAAACATAGAAAAACTTTAAATTCTCAAAGGTTAGAACTAATGGGGAAATCCAGCCATTTAGCTGAATGTAAAATTCCAGTTTGGATTTTGTAGACTGGAGACATTCTTGGAATAGTGTCATGTATCACTCAACTGTGTTAATTTTCCCTTTCCAGAATCCACATGCTGTCTTCTCCTGAACTCACCACAGGTTGGTTCACACAGACCTCCCAAAGGCCTATCTCTCAGGGACTATCACAGCTGTCCTCTGTGACCTGTACCCTGATGTTTCTTACCGGGATCCACGAGTGCCAGCCGCTTGTCCCGAGACAGGGAAGCTCTTTCCTCTTGGTTGAACATCCTGTCAATCATCACCATCTCAGCAGAGGGGTTGATCCTCTGAAAAGGAGAGAGCCAGTCACTTCAGACTCTTATTGAGGGATAGTGACCACGTGTTTGTCACTAAATGAGACAATGACAATGTGTTAAGAGCTTGGGGTCTAGACATTGGAGAGTTTCATCGTCCCACACACAGGAAACTACCACATTTGCTACTGTTTTAAGATAAAGTCCCACGAAGCCTAGGCTGGTCTCTAAGTGGCATCAATGTCCTGCCTCAGCTTCCCAACTGCTGGAGTTACAGTCATGAGCTACCCCCCACCCAGCTGTAAGTAGCCCCTTCTCATATGATAGGACTGTGTTTTATTTGTTTGTTTATTTATTTATTTATTCATTCATTCATTTTAGTTTCTCAAGACAGGGTTTCTCTTCCTGGAACTCGAAGAGACCCACCTGACTCTGTCTCCCCAGTGCTGGGATTAAAGGTGTGCACCACCACCGCCTGGCTTGAGCTGGTTTTTAGAGATAGGGTCTCACTATGTTAGCTTGGCTAGCTTCAAACTCATTATGTAGACCAGGCTAGCCTTGGATTGATTCACAGAGAACTACCCACCTCTGCTTCTGAGGGCTGGGGTTAAAAGTGTGTACCACCATGCCTGGTGAGCTAGTCTCACTGGATGGCTCAGGAGTTTTTATCAGAAATGGTTGTCAGAGGCATCTTCACTCTCAGTGATGGCTAAGTGTGAAGCTATCCTGCAACTTTAAGCATCTTTCTTCATAAACTATGTTCTGGGTGTGGAAATTCTTGAACCTTCTCTGTGCCTTGGGTCAGCTGAACTGCGCAAGCAGCCACAGCATCATCTTACCATGGCATCTTCTAGGAGCAGGAATCTGTATTTGTTCAGCATTGCTTGGGTCCTTTTGAGGAGCTGAGTGGCGACTTCTTCAAATTCATTGTCCACTTAAAGAAAAAAAAAAAAAAAAAAAAAAAAAAGGAGAAAATGGTAAGAGAGACTGGTCTGTTTGCTGAGGCTGTCAGGGACTCATTCCCAGAGCCTACCCGTAACAAGGATTTAGCAGGGATATCCCCTTTAGCTTAGCCTGTCTCTGCTTAAGCATCCTGCAGATAGATTCCTGGCATCCCTGTATTGTGTGTGGTAGGGAGCTCAGTTATGGCTGCTGTGAGCAGGCCAGGATGGAACAGTGCTGTAGAATATTGTTTTAAGATGTGTTATATTTGTTCATGCTGTGGAACATTTGTTTAACGATGCAAGGATGTGTTGCTTTCCTTTCTGCTGCATCTGTTTAACTCTGTGGAGCTGTGTTGCTGTGCCTGTCTAACCCTCATCGGTCTAATAAAGAGCCGAATGGGCCATCCTGAGGCAGGGGCAAGGACCGGCGGGGCTGGCAGGCGGAGGGGATAAAGAGGAGGAGCAAGGATGCCAGGGCCCAGCCACCCGTGGAGTAAGAGTGACAGTAAGAGGGAACAAGTAAGGGAAAGAGGCAAGGGGTAGCGGGGTAATTTAAGAAAAGTGGGCTTAAACAAGCCAAACTAAGGCCGGGCATTCATACGAAAGAATAAGCCTCCGTGTGTATTGGTGCCCCCCCCCCAGAGTAAACACAACCAACAACAGAAGAGCACTGGACAGAGATGATGAGCTGGTTCCCTCCGCTCTGTCCCTCCCAGAAGCAGGGGACAGAAAGAGCTGAACAAGGCAGATCTGACTGTGCGGCTGGGAAGACACAAATCAGTCCCTGGCCCCTTGCAGGTCATGATCTGTGTCTCTGGGTTTTGACTTTAGAAATGTCACACTTTCCCGTTCTCTGTTCCTCAGAGTCTTCACAGCCGTTTACTGTTGACTCTGGAAGTTACTCATCCCCGGGAGCCCCAGAGGGTCAGGAGGCAGGGTTTACCCTGAGGTCAGAGGCCCTGAAGAGTCAAGACCAGTGGCAGTGGAGGAAGGTGATGTCATGGAGGGCTTGGCCGGGGCAGGGAAAGTGGGGTGGCCCCAATCCCCTGCTATTGGACTTAAACAGACAACAGGCCCCAGAATGGGTGGGGTTCTTGTCCCTAACTTTGTCAGTTTCCTGAAATCCAGACACTGTCTTAGACTTGCTTTGGGACCTCAGGGAGCTAACTAGTTTCTGGTCAAGTTCGTGTGCACAGCTGTGTCTCCTGTGTCGACAT